ACTCTGATCTCTCTTGGACTCACATTCATTCTCTAGTCTTGTTTGAGAACAGCTACTGTTTAAAAATTCTATTTATAACTAACTTTAATTTAGCAAATCTAAACCTATAATCTGGAACATATGCATACATACATATATATATATATATGTGTGTGTGTGTGTGTGTATATATATATATGTGTATACTTAAAGTCTGTGTGCATATATTTATGTTTTTTTTTTGTATATTTAACCCTCTGCTGCACGCATTATGAGAGCAACTTAAAAAAATATTCGATTCACTTTTCTTGCATAAAATGGACCTGATTTTTAATTCAAAATTTTTTTTTTTAAATAATAAATGGGTCCTTTTGGGGTGTGTTGGGGTATGTTGCCTTTAAGCAGCATTGTGCGACAATGGGAAGAAATTATATGAAGCCATGTTCCCTGAAGTGGTGAGACCTGGCTAACGTCTGGCCAAATCCATTCCACTGTTGCACAATGCTGCTTCTAGGCAACAAACATATTTTGGCAAATTCTCATAACAAAAAAAAAAAACTAAATTTTAAAAGTGCCCACTAAGAGATAGTATGACCAAGAACATGCTTTTTATTGACGTACTCAAACTCTGCCCTTTATTATTAACCCTGTTAAATACGTATAATGTTATTGTGAAGTGAGGAAAATGGGTTTGTTGCCCTGAGGCACCACTGTACAATAGAGAGTTAAGTACTTCAAGGGGGCTATGCACCTCAGATTTTCACTCACCTTGGCAACTGTGTAAATGTGATGTGACAATAAACATGATTTGATTTGATTTGATTTATTTGTATTCCTCTTAACTCTCACAAAAGGGCATGAACTCACAATCAAACCACTCAAAACCAAAACAGCGTCTGTTTTGTCTGTTTGATTTAGCCACCTGGATCAGAAAACGGCCACACTTGAGTTCATAAATAGAAGAGGGGATAATTTAGTTTAAAAACATATTGTTTTGTTCACAGCATTATTTTGTTGGAAAAAAACATATTTTACATATTTGCTTTTTTGGGTCATTTCCAGACACGGAAACAAACAGAAAAAAGTAAAAGTGCAGAACCTGTCAAAATGAAACGTATAAAAGAGGATGCAAAGGTAATTCTTTGCATAACGAGACAATTATTTATGTAATTATACAATAATATCACTTAAACAGTGAAATTAAAGTAATAACTAGAATTGTGTGCATTAATTCTGTTGTCTCAAGTGAATCCACTGGAGCACAGCTCTTTTTAACGTCTTTTCACTGTAGCTTTAAAATGCAATCTGCGTCTGTTGTGGAGCTCTCTCTGAATTCTGCAATATTTTTTTATTCAGTAATATGAATAATATACACTGACCAGCCACTTCATTAAGTCCACCTCCTTGTTTCTACACTATTTATCAGTTTTATCAGCTCCACTGACCACACAGGATCACTTTGTAGTTCTATAGTCACAGACTATAGTCCATCTGCTTCTCTGCATACTTTGTTACCCTGTTCTTCAGTGCTCAGGACCCCCACAGGACCACCACAAAGCAGGAATTATTTGGGTGGTGGATCATTCTCAGCACTGCAGTGGCACTGTTGTGGTGGTAGTGCGTTAGTGTGTGTTGCACTAGTGCAAGTGAATCAGACACAGCAGTGCTGCTGGAGTTTTTAAACACTTCAGTGTCACTTCTGGACTGAGAATGGTCCACCAACCAAAAGTATCCCTGATGAAGGACTAGAGGATGACCAACACAAACTGTGCAAGGACAGATGAGCTATCGTCTCTGACTTTACATCTACAAGGTGGACCAACAAGGTAGGAGTGTCTAATAGAGTGGACAGTGAGTGGACACAGTGTTTAAAAACTCCAGCAACACTGCTGTGTCTGATCCACTCGCACCAGCTCAACACACATTAATGCACCACCACCACATCAGTGTTACTGCAGTGCTGAGAATGATCCACCACTCAAACAGTACCTGCTCTGAGGTGGTCCTGTGGGGGTCCTGACCATTGAAAAACAGGGCCAAAAAGTATGCAGAGAAACAGATGGACTACAGTCTGTAACTGTAGAACTACAAAGTGAAACTATATGGTAAAATGGACAATGAGAGTAGAAACAAGGAGGTGTATTTAATAAAGTGACCGGTCAGTATAAATTTCAATGGAAATGTTTATTACATTAAAGCAGAAACAAACTGGGTCTTCATCTTTATCAGTGAGTAAGCAGGTCAACATTTACAAAATGTTTCACTTTGTTTCAGTGCTAGATTCTTTGGGTCATTTGTATAGGATTAGTTGATATGAAGAAAGCTGCAGTTGTCCATTTTATCTCAGCACAGCAATCTTTGTGAAGAGGTGTGTATTGTTTTCCACAGCAGGGGGTTCTCTCTCCTCCCCTTTAACCTCTCATTGCTCCCTAGCAGCTCAACACAGAGCAACAACATTTCACACACAGGGAGACAGAATCCTAGTTAATCGGATAACAAAGTTACGGGAGGAAAACATTTTATTTGATAATATGATTGAAAATACATATTTATACATAGTTGAAATTTAATCCATTTCCATTCTGCTTGCAGGATGTCCACTGGGGGCTTACATAACTCACCAAACAATTTGAAAAGACCAAGAAATGTGGATTGGAAACGGTTAAGACTAGTTAAGGCTTGATTTTAAAGAGTACTTGATTTTTTGGTTCTAGATCTTCACTCAGATTCAGTTTGGTCTCCATCTTGACTTGGTGCCAGCCCCCTTTAGACTCAACAAGTATGGTCTTGACTCAATAAAGGTGGTCTTGGCTAAAACCCAAAAATGACTACATGCTTTTTTCATCGCTAACTGTGACTGTAATAGACCCCTTCAGTCTACTTTGATTGAACCGACCTCACATCTGCATATGAATATGCATATCAAGATAAGTATCTAGAACAGCTCTGCTGTTGAGTGTGCTGAGCTTTCTTCTGTAATTTCCATAAAAATAGGCCTGGTGTGGCTACGCACGCTCATTCGGTCTCACTCAGATGTCGGTTTGCACAGACAACAAAGCGGAGTCCCAGACGCTCGGGAGGCTGCTGCTGCACAAAGGCACAACAGAGCTCTTACCATGGAAACACAGGCCAAGACACCAGACCTCATCCCCGGCTTTCTCACACACACAGATACACACTAACCCGTACACACAGACCTTCACACAGCTTAGACCGAAACTCCCACACAAATAGAGAAAAAATGAGGACCTACTTAGGTAAATGGATGCATTAATGACCCGATGATGTCTGAGATATGGCTATGAATAATGGCTCTAGATAATACTTGCTCGGGATACACTCTTCGTCCAGTGGCCACTTTATCAGAAACCCCTCCCTTGCAGATCCACTTTACTGGTGTACAGTTAGAGACTGTAGCTCATCCTTTGATACACAATTTGTTTTAGACCAGAGTTCTTCAAATCTGGACTAGGTTCCAGTCCTGGATTTTGCTGTCACTGACATTCGGTGACCAAATAGTTACATTAACAGTTCAATTAAGTACCAGTGATTACAAAATACAAGGCTGGAAACTGGACCAGATTTGAATACGTCTGTAGAACTTCCTCAATAGTCAGTTTTTGACCATAGAGCTGCTTTTGGTTGGATTTTTGTAGATGTTGAATCATTATTAATTAGGGCGGTTTAATAATATAGGCATTTTCACAAATGCACTTTTACACAGGAATTTAATGGTTATTAAATGAGAAGGGTTATGTAAAACACAAGCTGCAAAGGTAAAATGGAAGTGGGACTTTGACTACACAAGACCTAATAAAAATCCCAGAAAATGCACATAAGCCTAAAAATACTATGCGCAATGCCAAGTGTCGGCTAGAGTGGCATAAAACATGTCGCCACTCGACTCTGCAGCAGTGGAAACGTGTTCTCTGGAGTGATCTCACTTCACGCATCTGGCAGTCAGTTGGACGAATCTGGGTTTGGCGTAGACCAGGAGAACGAGATCAGAAAGCATAGTGCCAACAGTAAAGTTTGGTGGAGGAGGGATAATGAGGGGCTGGGGCTGTTTTTCAGGCTCCTTAGCTCCAGTGAAGGATGATGTTAATGCTATAGCATACAGAAATTTTAGACAATTATACGCTTCCAATTTTGTGGCAGCAGTTTGGTGAAGACCCTTTCCTGTTCCAGCATGACTATGACCCTGTGCACAAAGCGAGCTCCACAAAGACATGGTTTGATGAGTTTGGTGTGGAGAAGCTCCAGTGACCTGTACCCTAAATTTAAGCCCACTGAACACCTTTGGAATTAACGGGAATGTTGATCACAAGCCAGGCCTTCTCAGTGCCTGACCTCACAAATGCTCTTTTAACTGAATGGGCATTAATGTCCACAGACACATTCCAAAATTCTGTGGAAAGCGTCCCAGAAGAGTGCAGGCTGTTACTCCCGCTAAGTGGGGGCCACCTACATATTAGCCCCTTAAATGGCCAGGACCCACCACACATTTATAACCAAAGAGTAGCTTAGGCAGTTTGCATTGAGGTCCTTGTAGTTACTGAATGATAAGTCTTAGTATGTAACAAGTCTGGTAATGCTCTGTGTTCTGGAATGGGATGTCCTACAAGGTATATAGGTGTGATAGTCAGGTGTCCACCTACTTTTGGCCATGCAGAGTATCTTCAAGTATCATTATATTATATTTCTGCCATATTGCCCACCAACCATGATACCAAACACACTACCATGTCAGTGTCACCGCTGTGCTGAGAATGATCCACCACCCAAAAACCTGGACAAGAATGGTCCTGTGGTCAGAAACTGACCAATGATGAATGGGTTAGAGGGGGCTGATACATTGTGCAGCAACAGGTGGGCTACAGTCTGTAATGGTGCACCTTTATAGTGGATCTGTAAGGAAGGAAGAGCTCATAAAGTTATAATATAAAGCAGGGGGTTCTAATAAAGTGGACGCTGAGTATACGTTGTTTACATAAAAAGGAATAATAAAATGGTCCACTTACGACAGTCAGCCTCGTCGGACTTGTCCTTGCAGTCCGGATCTCTATCACACCTCCAGGCCAGCTTGATGCACTCCCCACTGCCGCAACGGAAAGCTCCAGCGCCACACTCTGCTCTGCGGCCGGGGGGCGTGGCCGGTCGCACGACTTCGCTCCCACATCGCTCCGCCCACTCGTCAGAGCCGTCAGAGCAGTCTGGGTCCCCGTCGCAGGTCCAGGGCTGGGGAACGCACTCGGAGGCATTGCAGCGGAACTCGTGGGGGCCGCAGGTGGGTGGAGAACACTTCTCCTCGTCACTGGAGTCCCCGCAGTCGTCATCACCGTCACACACGTAGACCGGCGCCAGGCACTTATGGTTACGACACTGGAACTCTCCTGCTGGGCAGGCGCGGGCATCTGTGGAAAACAGGACAACAGAGCAATGAAGACAAGTATAACAAACTAATGAACCAGTGCCACATAAATCTTAGAAATCTAGAGTTACTGTAGTTGTTTTGTTGCATATTGAGTTTACATTACATAGTTATTTAACCCTTTAAACTGCAAGAACCTGTAAGTGAGTCCATACCTCAGCTCCTCACTCTCAAAACTTATTAGTTTTATCGTATTTACTGAGTAATAAGTCCTACGGTCATTAACTGTAAGTAAACCTGCAGTATGAAGGATTAAAGGAAATGACAGTTACACGACTACATGTGTCACAATTTTAATAGAATTAGGAAAAAATACGTTTATGCTTATAAATTCTAATGGGTTGTAATTTTTGCATTTGTATTTGTTTTGATAAAGACCAACAAAGTTTGGTGGGAGAACTTGTTTTTATTTATCTAATATTCTTAATACATACAACATTGAAAAATCTTAAATCTTGACTTGAGAACTGAAAACTGCCTTGAACGTGAAATACGTTATCAGTACAGCACTATTAATTACATGTAAATAGTTACATTTACATTCTGTATTGACAAGTTTGAGACATTACTTTGATCATTTGAGCACAAAAAAGGGACAAAAAAGGTAGAGAATGTTTACGTCTTTCGGCAGAACATGATATATGCAGGACAACTTTACATCAAATTCAAATCACAGTCTTCTACTTACAAACAAAAATCCTGTATGGATTGAAAGTTTAGAGTCTACACTTTCTACCAAATTTCCCTGCTTGTTTCAATGAGCTGTGAGTGAAAAATAATTGATATCATGCTCCGGAGTGGCACCACCCTCTAAGCATTGGCCCTATCCTATTGGAGACTGCAAATTCGTCACAGCCCTCGATGGACGGGAGTCCAAGAGAGCATAATTATCCTCTCTTTCTGGGTCGGTAGGATGGTTCTCCTCCCACAATCACTGAGCCCGATGCCAGCCAATGCTGGCGTCCAATAGCTGGCATAACAGAACCAGCAGTTACTGTTCACCTCCAAGCGTGCTGAGCTGACCAGTGATGTGAGAATAGCAGTTTGAAAAGGTACAGTGGAGCTCTGCGTTTCTCAGAGGAACACACATTGCTCCAATATATATGTATGCATGTGTATAGATCTTTTAGCATTAATGGTGGCTTCACAATGAAGTTGCTCATGCCATGGGGACTAATATATGACCGACCCTGGCTTTTGAACTTTACGCTGGTAATAATCCAGACAGTCCTTCTGTCTTTTGGCCTGGAAAACACGTCATCCATTATTTGAATAAATAATCTGAAAGGTTGACTAATCAGACCACACTACACGTTTCCACTACTGCATCAGTCCATTTCAGAAGAGCTTAAACCCAGAGAAGTCGGCGGCATTCTTGACATTCTTGACATATAGTTTTCATTGTGCGTAGTACAGAAGAACAAGCTAGCAACCAGGCCCTTCCAGCCTGGTAGCATCGTGTAATGGGGGAGATTAAAGTTACTTTTATTATTGCATGCAATAACTTTGTTTTGTAAGCGTCAATAACATGTTTCTGACCATCTCACCTCCCTTGAGAAATGGACACTTGCTAATTCTCAGCTTGTGGCATGCAGGGCACCATGCAAGCTAGTGAACAGTTAGCAAGCAAGGACGGGTTTTCACTCTGCTTTAGCTAAATGGAAACCTCGCTCGAGGGAACAAGACAGGCTTCTTGCCTGCACTTTGAGATTGAAATCAAACCGACTGAACACAGAGAGAAAAGAGAGAGAGAGAGATGGGAGAATGGGGGATTGAGTGAGGGAATTACTGCCAGACAGGGACACTGAGGTGTTCTACAGCACCAAATCTGCAAGCTGTCAGATCAAAAGACGAATCAGATTGGAAAAGAGAGAGAGAAATTAGAAAAGACAGAAAAATACGATGGAGAGAATGGAACGACCTGCCAATCAAAATCGAGTTTTGAATGCAAAGTAGCGGAAAGCAGTAACACGGACACGAAGAGACAGGGTCAGCAGAGAGGAGAGAAATAAAGAGCAGCAGTAAAGGTGAGGAAGATTGAGACGCTAGAGGAAGCCTGAGAACGCCACGCTGTTCAATATGACACATTTCAATTGGACAAATGTAGACTGCAGTGCAGTGGGCGCTGACTGACACAGCGCAGATTATGTGCTTAAACTGTCACTGACAGACGTTCAGAGAGAACGCATTACTCTAACAAGACATTTAACACGCCGTCATTCCAGCACACATCTGCCCTGCGGTTATTTCTGAATAAGAGGATAATAGGAATAATGGGAAACATTTGGTGCTGCTTACAGGGAACAAAGCAGCTACATATGAGTAGTTGTATGTAGTGAGGGTGGGCTATACGGCAAAAACACATCACGATTAGACTTGAGCCGATTGACAACAGTAGATAGTTTCCATCTATCGTGATTGTCAATCAAGCGGAATGATTAAATGTCTTAATAAACGCTGTCCACTTCTTTATAATGTACAAAAGTAAGTATATCTGTCTCATTTTCTTTTAACATGTTTTCAGTCCATGTCCTGAATCAGCCCTGATATGCTGGCTGGCTTTAGAACATTCCGTATCAGCACGAGGTAGAACTGTCTTCCTACCTGTTGTCATGCTTGTTGAACTGATGAAGATGTGCTGCAGCCTTCCTCGCAGCCACTAAACATGAACAAGGCTTAAAAGATTTTTACATCGTGACAACGCATAACTACATGAACAGCAGCCTTTAGGCTACTTAAGCTTTAGCTGTTTTATTATCATTAAAAGAAACTATGTAAACACATAATTTATTAAACCTACAGTAAAAACTGCCAAACCATTTAAAAAATGACCAAAATACCATTAATGACCAAACTATACCAAGAACTATCCAACCATACCGAAACTCACCAAACCACTCCAAAAACTGTCAAACTATACCAAAAACTATCAAACCATACCAAGAACTACCCAACCATACCAAAACCTACCAAACCATGCCAACAACTATCAAACCATACCAAAACCTACCAAATCACACCAACAACTATCAAACCATACCAAAACTTACCAAACCCAAAAACGATCAAATCACACCAACAACTATCAAACCATACCAAAACCTATCAAATGAACTATAAAACCAACCCAAAAACTATCAAATCACACCAACGACTATCAAACCATAACAAAACCTACCAAACAAACCCAAAAACTATCAAACCACGCCAAAAATTATCAAACCATACCAAAACCTGCCAAACTATACCAATACCTTAACAGTATACCAAATCATTAACAGTATTTTGTATTTATTCTTCAATGTTCATCTATGCCAATGTGTCTGAAAATGAACAATATACTGTGATAGCAGGGCACGAATTCTATTGGTGGATTTTAGTCATGTTGTTCTCCTATTGGTGGATTTTAGTCATGTTGTTCTCCTATTAGTGGATTTCAGTCATGTTGTTCTCCTATTAGTGGATTTTAGTCATGTCATTCTTCTATTGGTGGATTTTCAGTCATACCGTTCTCCTAATAGTGTATTTTTAGTCATGTTGTTCTCCTATTAGTGAAATTTAGTTATGTTGTTCTCCTATTAGTGGATTTTTAGTCATGTTGTTCTCCTATTAGTGAAATTTAGTTATGTTGTTCTCCTATTAGTGGATTTTTAGTCATGTTGTTCTCCTATTAGTGAAATTTAGTTATGTTGTTCTCCTATTAGTGGATTTTTAGTCATGTTGTTCTCCTATTAGTGAAATTTAGTTATGTTGTTCTCCTATTAGTGGATTTTTAGTCATGTTGTTCTCCTGTTACTGCATCTCTTGGAACTCACAACTCATTAAAAAGAACGTCTCCAGTTCTATTAGGACTCAAGACTAAACTCACGACTGAAGAATTCTTTCAATTTGTGATTTTTGTCTGCAACAACATAATTTTGGCAAAAATCAAAGAGTGAATAGCAGCCTTTACTCTGCATTCTCCGATACTGTGGAACATCAACGGGTTGTTGTGATTGACCGCAGCACTGTGAGTCACAACAGGTTCTGCCACCCAAGAAAGCAAAACAGTTTTGTGCGTTGCCCTCCGTCACTGATTGGAAGAGACAGCATGGCAGAAAACAGAAGTGAATCACCGGAGATGCAAAGCGGCCCGGGGCTGCCGTGAGATCACGTTTGCCTCACTGTGTGGCTTGACAGCAGGACTGGAGGAGAAGAGAGCTTCTGGAGATCTTTCTTTCCTTTATGTTTAAAGGATTTTGTCACTGTAGTTTAACGTTTGTCACTCTTCTCCACAGACAGAGCCAACTTATAAACTATTAACCCTGTAAGACAGGATATGTTATCTTCAAAAGTGTTTCAACATCAATATGCTAAAACTGCATGTTAAGCCAGAGAAGCTTTCTGCTCAGTATTCTGCGATTATCTGACCACTAGATCACAGCACATTCACACTGATGATCAGCTGATGCTTGTCCACGTTTTTCCTCTATTGTAATTAAACTTTTTATATTGAAATGTTGTGTTTAAGTTACCAAAACTGCCTGAGGACACACATCACTGGATGATAATGTAATACATGGGCACCTGAGCAATGCAGCAAGTGGAGCACTTGCACTTAACAAAATTCTGTTTTTGTGTCATTAATTTTGTGTAATCATCCTACCCTAAAACAAAACTGCCACTTATGGAAGCTCACTGTCACTCTTTTCCACCAGGAGTCTGGTAGCAGAATGTCAAAACATTGATTATTCGGTCAAAACTTTGACCTTTTTTTATCAAAATAATGACTTGTTTTCTCAAAATTTCAGCATATTATAGTGAAACAATGCCAAAGTTTCCCAAAATTTCAGCATATTATGTTGAAAAGATTTTCTTGAAATTTCAGCATGTCAAAATAATGAGTTACATTCTCAAAATTTGAGTATATCAAAACAATTACTTATTTTTTCACAATGATAGTAAATTATGCCAAAATAGTGACTTAGGTTTCTTGAAATCTCA